CAGTGGATTTGTTTGTTGGTGGATCTTTATCATCATTTTCTTTTGTGAAAATTGTCCTGTATAACTTGTCTTGAAATTCTTTTGCAAATATCGCAGCCTGCCTCTCAGGCCTTTCCTTTTCCTCGGTTTTCTTGTCACAGTCACAAGTTATGTTTCTCTTACAAGTCCCTGTTAGCAAAATACAAGATATAACAAGAACATAATGGAAAAATTGGATGAGGAAGATTCTTAACTTGTCAGCATCAGTTGACGAACTGTCGACACTCTTTTAAATAGAACACCCCCTTCCCCCTTCTATCTTCATACTGCTGGGATATAACGAACCAAAAGCGCATTCTAAGATATCAGTCTTGTGCACCCATGATAGAGAGGCGGGCGTAGAAGATAATACGGAGCTTAAGCAACAATTCAACTCCAGAAAAAATTGCCAACATTCGACAAATTGCTCGAGATGGAATAAGCGCGATAAAGTTTGAGGCAGCGCGAATTCACTTTTTAGTGGCGTTTTCGTAGCCATCGCCGTCGTTGTTGCTTAAGCTTCCTAATGAAATACATGAGAAGTGCTAGCCTTCACTACACTTTTTACTGTGATTACAGGTTTACAAAAACAAAGACGACAAGAGACATGAAGACGGATTCAAAACGGTGCGTTTCGGGATGCTGACATACACCGCACCTTTCTTGGATCCGAAAATGATAACTCTACCGGACGATGGTCAGCTGCTCAACATTACGCCACTGGGTAGGCATCACCAGCAGATTGTTTAAGCACGAACAACGGAACGTAAGCCTCCATTTATTAGTCCATCTTTGTTTTTTGAATTACATTAGACCCGAATGCTCCTCACTTCCCGTTTCGACCTTTGGTTCTGCTTTCATAAACAGTCTTACTTCAGACAAAAAATAACGGCTCACCACACAGCTTTAAAAAAACTGTCTTTAGTGTTATACATTTATAAGCTTACATATCAATTGTTTAATTATTCCTAGAAAATACGGCCACCTACAATTAAATTTGCACATTTCAGCAGTCCATGTTGAAATTTGCTTTTACTGTTTAACTGTTTATTAATTATGGCAAATTTTACAGAAAGCAATATCCACTGCCCGCAGTGGATATATCAGCCAAGCGCGGTCATTGCACGCGTGCTGAACAAGAATGCTGTATAATGACAGACTAGAAACAATAGACAACTCCCAAAGCACAAACTCAGCCAAAACACTGAAAAGTGCTTCAGTTTTCTTAAAACGACACTGTTCTTTGTGCCATTCACGACCAGCGTGACACTATAGGGAGGTTTAGCGGTGGTCGGTAGTGTCAGCTGTGTAGAGGTTGGTTTGGCCGTAGTGGTTGGGACATAAGAAGAGCCTGTAGTTTTTCCACCTTGAGGTACAGTCGTTACTTGGCATAATGGGTTCTAAAAAGTCAAGTTAGTCATGAGTTATGCCAAGATTAAACCTTAAAACTACTCCACAAAATAACAAAAACATCCTTGTAGGAAGTAAACGTGATCATCAGTGACACGGGATTACGCAGATAGCCTCAGGTTTTTTATCATGGGAAACCGCAAACCGCAGTTTG